TTTTCAGCTCAATTAAATGTGTTTTGGTAAACTTTAGCATCCCACTGTAACTGCTGTGTCCAGCTTTTGTTTGTGAAATGTTAGGTTCCGCTTCTTCATGCTGCATCGTCGGTATGAGTGGAGCTTTTTAAATGTCTGTACTTGCTGCGCTCCATAAGAAATCAGTTGTCCCTGTTCAAAAGAGATTGTAGGATTCCCTGCTATGTACACAAAGCATATGTCACAGTAAGGTGAACCCTCTGGGTGAGGAATGTTCCTGCCTCATGCACTACTACGCCACCTAGCAAATCGGACAGGGTGCTAGGCCCCCCTTATTTCTCCACAGGTACGGTTTATCTCCATTAATCATCAATGCACTCACAGACCAGCAATAGTCATTAGTATCAGTTAAGTTATTTTTTTTATTTTCTACATACATCAACACAATCTATTATTCTAAGAAGCATAAAAAAGGAACATCCACAACAACAAGGAAATAGTTCAAAGGGGCACAATGAAATCCAGAGGGACAGCAGTCCTTTTTTTGTAAAGTACTGAAGGGAGGCAACTACCACAGTTCTTCTCTTGAGAGTTGCTTAAGCTTTCAGCATCCATATCGGACTGTGTTTATGTAGACATCGCTCAGAATCCCCTGTAAGATTCTCCCGAATTCAGTTTTGCAGTGCTTTTGCACTTTCAAAAGGTTTTGCTTTGCTAATAACATTCAGAGGTTCATGACAGCATTAGAAAACTTTTGTCAATGCAGGGAATCAAATCCAGGTCCAGTGTTTGGAAGGTAGCTATGCTCACCACTATAACACCAACACACACCCTGAGGCCACCAGAAGAGAACGCTCATGATTGCAGTGAGCCAGCAGAATGCCTGCAAGACTATGTCATGCTAAACGCCACAGATTGTGTTTGTCCAATCGTGTCAGTCGTCCTGCAGCTACAGGAAGTGGGAAGCAAACGTGCTGCAATGCTTTCAGGACGTTAGGATTTCTTTGTGCAACATCCAAGAACAGTACTTGTGGCTTGAATGTGAACTGTACGTGCCTGTCCCCTTTCATGTGTAGTGCATGAGTTCCTCCCAGCATGCCCTTCGTCATTGTTCTGTCATCTTGTATTTAAAGGGTTGTATTTCTGCTGCTGAAAATAAGCAACGATTTTCTTTTAACTCCCCTTGTTTGCGGAGGAGACCTTAGCTGTCCCTCATTAAATTTAATCTTCAAATTGGTGGCAGGAGAATTCATTTATACTCCTGTTGCATCCTCAGGAAAATATTTTAAAATTAAAACACAGATTTGTTTGGGATCTTGGCAAGCAAAAATGACATCACCAGCACTGTTAAGTTACCTCTGTAGAGTTCCATTTTAATATTTTGATACATGTACCTCAAATTTAATATGAGACACAAATGCTGCTCTATAAAGTGTAATTTTGTTTTATTTTTAATTGCATCATTGAGCAAATGTATTATCTATTTACATACTATTTACACATTATCTCTATTTATTCTCTGTATTCTCTATTTACACATGACTGTGTGGCTCGATTTAACAGCATCTGCATCATGAAGTTTGCTGATGTCACCACAGT